AGAAGCTACTAGGAGCAAAGGGCATCGCTACTAGGAGCAAGGACGCTGCTAAGGGGGACAGGACTCTCTTGGGAGTGAAAATCGACCTTTGACGCGCCTTATCAGCGGAGATGTTCTCGATGGCCTCCACTGAGAGCATCTGTGCGCGCACGATCACCAGGTCGAAGATGAACTTCCTCGACAGATTTGATCAAAGAGAGGTGAAACTTCTTAATTTCTTTCAGAGAAGCTATTAGGTGGAGGCCATCACTATTAGGTCGGAGGCCATCACTCCTAGAAATAAGAAGCTTTTTAGGTATTTTAAAACGCACATTTCTTAGATTTACTAAAATCAGTTCTAGATTTACTTAATTTCTTTCAGGTGTCCAATAAATCCCAGCTCGTCGGGCACGAAACATTGGGAAGCTGGACCCTTAAGCTAAGTTTCCTTAAAAATCTAGGAACCACATAGATAGTGCGAGCTTTCTCCTGCGTCCATACACAGCTACTGGATCACTTAGTAGTTAGCCTATGCTTGCCTCCTTTACTTACTTCCTTTATCGCTCACTTAGTTTGCCATTAGGTTGAAGGCCATCGCTAGTAGGTTGGAGGCCATTGCTATTAGAAACAAAGAAGAAAGACAATGAAAGAAAGGACTATACTTAGTTAAGCTAAGTTAAGTTTCCATAACAATCTAGGAACCTAATCATTAGTCGGAGCGCTTCTTCAAGGATGCTTGCCCCCACCCTCAGGCGGGGGGAGCTTCCTTGAAGAAGCATGAACTATCCTGCGTCCTACCTAGAAGCTAACGTAGTCTAGCAGCTTACTAGTCCTTTACTTACTTAAGTAGGCAGGGGGGAGCTAGTTATAGCTAGTAGGTCCTAGGTCGAAACCGTCTCATCGCTCGAGGCGCCCGAAGAAAGCGAGGCCATAGACGATGGTCGTGGCAACGCCCGCGGCCACCTGGAGTCACGGTTTCGAAAGCATTTGGAAAATACAATGCTGAAACTAATGCTGAAGCATCCTCTTGAGTGGTCTCGGTGGCATGCAGAAATACAGTGGCAATGCGTGCCACGAGGTGTTTTCTTGGAGGTCTGAGAGCTTCTTCCGAAGTTCTTTCTGCAAGGAAGAGAGCGCCATGAGGATTTCCTAAACATCTCTGCACAACCTAGTGTTTAGCACATGAACGGGTAATTAAAGACCTGAGTTAAGGTCGTCATTTATCAGTCTCCCCAGAGTTGCACATGCTTGCCCGAACAAGTGGATCTTCCATTCTTGCAGGCTTATGTATCCGTAGCTAGTGCCATAGTAATTTCATTCCGCCACACACTTTTGATCCGTTTCTACGAAACTCTTGGTGGAAAACTCTCTAAAATCCACACCTCATAGGCACTGGCCATGCCATCATCCTGGTGCACCATCACACGACTAATCTCCTGCGGAGCATGAGTAATCGTCGCCACAAGAGGTGGTCTTCTATGGTCTTCTTTGGACCTTTGTTTCTACTAGCACCGGCCTCCACCCCCGATGGCCTCCAACCTACTAGCAAACAATATTAGACCCTTCTTCAATTTTCTATTCCACCTAAACCACAGTTTCAGCGAAGATCGTCAAGCAATCCGTAGCATTTGGGGAAGAGGCGCTGAAGCCCACCCATGTTTGAGGTGTCCAAGCAGATTGGGGAGATGATATGGAGGTGGGGGGAAACGAACGCAGAATGCTTCTGCAGAAAGCATGAGTCTCCTTCCAACGATAGGCAGTTGAGGAATGGAAGGAGCGATAGGCTTTCTTGCCAAGAAACAAGCAATGAATAGGATTGCAATTGGGTTGGAGGCCATCACTAGTAGGTTGGAAGACTAGTAAGAAGAAGCTACTAGGGGCGCTCCTGGCCTTACTACTAGTAACAAGAAGCTACTAGGAACAAACATCCTAAGACATGTTTCGTTGGGGCTCTGGGTCGATGCTTACGAGGCCATCACCTAGAACCGTCTTCACCACCGGACGCCGTGTTCACTCACGCCTGGCGCAAGTTCATATCTCTCAAGTCCAAAGGGTCAAAGGGTGACTTGAAGTATCCTGCAGAAGGTCGGAGAGCATCTTGTTCCTAGTAGCGAACATTGCTCCTAGTAGTAAGGCCAGGAGCCCCTAGTA